AGTTTGTAGTGAAAGGGATGGGGGAAGACAGACTTGAGAATGAGGAAAGGACAGTGGAAATTTTTAGCTTGCATAGATAAACAACCAATACCTAATGACTTCATAAATCATAAGGCAAAATCCTCATTTGGCCCCAGGACTGACACTTAATACCACAGGATTCTGATTGTACGTAATATATGTCAGCTTATTAAATGAAATTAGAGCTAAAAATAAGAATTGGATAAATATTTCTACAGTATTCAAAAAAGCAAGAATCTGCCTTCCTTTTCCACACGTCCAGTCTTTTCCCTTCTCTTCTTTCAGCTGACAAACACAGCTTTCTAGGTGAGGTGCAGACACAAGTATGCACACACACACGGAAATACACACACACCTCAGTGCATGCACACAGGTTTTAGCTTGATATTTGTTTTAAAGGCTGCTGTGCAAAGTCTGGTGGATTAATAATACGCCTTTCCAGGACAAACACACATTTAGAGTGTGTTTTGGAGGCACCACTTGAACTCAGAAACAATCCCACTTTTCCTAGCTTCAAATAAACATAGTAACTAGAAAGAAAAGGTGGTTTAAAAATCAAAAGACAATTTCCTGGCACTGCCAGATATAGAAAATGTGTAGATAAAACAAAAATACATCTCTTACATCCCTTTCTGTTCTATTTCCTTTTGTAAAAATTGATTCCTTTATTAAGAGTTACTTACTTTTTGCTTCTTGCAACCAGCAGTAAGTGTGTAGAATCAGTCCATTAATGCTCTGCATCTCTACTGTCACTTTCATCTAAAGTAATCAGAGGATCCCCACAATGTTAGTTTGAGTATGAGCCACTCTTTTTTACAAGTTCAATCACAACTGCTTTTTGGCAGAAATGGAAATATAATTAACCCCTTTGTTTTCCCCTTCTCCCTTTCCAAGGTCCTAAGCATGTTTGTTCCAACCTCTATGTCGTGCACAAATGTTGGTGAGCCATGTGGTAGACATCACAGCATCACAGAAATAAATATGCTCAAAAAATATGCCTCCTTTCTTTGGGGGCAAAGGAACCTGTGCCTCAGCCAAGGCAGTCCCCAGCTGAATTTCACCATGAACATTTGTGCCAGGACAGCACCAGGGCAGAAACAATTTGCTGACAGATCAAAGGGGCGCTGCTACACCTGCTAAAGCTATCCCTGACTTTCTATATCTATTTATAATCTAAAAGAAGAATAATTTACATATAGGGTTCTACCTCTTCTAGGATCAGGGTCAAAAATCAAATCTTTATTTACTCAGCCAAGGTCACAGAGAAAATCAGCAGCGGCAGGATATGGTCCCATAGTTTGTTTACTGGGTCTGCATCATCCTGATAGAGAAACACTATTTAAAATAGCTTCTAAAAAGTTTTCAGTAACTAGTTTCTCAGGATATATAATTGCACATTACTGTGGTGTTTAAATCACTTCTGAAAGTCCTGTGTGGAATTGTAAAGTTATTTGAAGACAAAGCAATCTCCAGCATGCATAGTTCAAAATGAGCTAATGTTAGAAGCCTGTGCTGCTCATGGGCACATTAGCCAGGCCTTTATCCCCCCTCCTCCCCTAAACTGCATGCCTAGAGATGTATGAACCACTTTCTGAGCCAGGTCACCTTTAAGAGCACAGTGACATGCCACAGAATTATTCCCCAGTCCTCACCAGAGATGTCTGCAAGTGCAAAGCCTGTGACAAAGGACTGAAATGACAGCACTTTGACTCACTTCTACATTGTGTTTGTTTAGGAAGGTCCTAGAAATTGTATTTCACCAACCACATTCGCTATCAACACACAATTATCTGGCTTAATCATGTGGAACAGTGGCAAATTCACCTGGGGCTTAGGAACTAATGACATTCTCGTCTGAGCTGCTTTAGTGAAATGGCCTAGCACCTGAAGCAGGAACAGCAAGATTGCTCAAGAAAATTTGGTTTTCTTTTTTCATTTCACAGCATAGGGGCTCTGCTCAAATCAACAAACGCTGCTGATTAAATAGCTGTGGTAGTTGACTTATTTGCACTTGTGTGTATGGCTCTGAATGTACATTGAGAATCCCTAACCTTTACAGGAAAAGAATTGTCTGTGACTTGTTTTTAATATGTTGTATTTTGACATAGAAAATAGTAAAATAATTTTTCATTTTATAACTTTGGTATGATGAGATCTGTAAGTGTGGGTAACTCCAAATATTCCAAAACCAGCATGGGACAAGAGCAAAACAACTCCACCTTTTCTCACACTGAATGTATTTGTATCTATTTTTTGTCAGCAGCCTGGGAAGGGTCATATAAATTCTGCTTGCTCAACAGAAACTCGGATTCTTATGTTGGTCTCCCCCCTAGTATACAGGAGATGGGATAAGTTGTGCTGCTGCTGATTATGCCACTAAATCTCAAAAGTTTAGAGGTAGGAAAAGATGAGAAATTAAATGTTCAGGCTCCTGAATGCTTATAAAAAAGGGATAGGGAGGCTTTGGGACCACCTAACTCCTTCTATTTTGGCAAAGGAAAATAAACTAGCCCTATTTCCATGAATAAAGTCTTTTGAAAAACATTCAGAAAGATATAGTAAGTGAGGTTTTCATACTCAACCTTCATATACATCTTTGGAATTTCATGTTCAAGGACTTCACTTCAAAGCAAAATACCCACATTCTTGCACAGACAACTCCAAAACAAGGCAGCCCAATGTTGGGCTTGGTGTGACCATTTTGCCTGTTATGAAAATTAATTAGCATTAAGCGCAATATGGATATCAGCTCAGACTGGTACACAGATGAAATTTAGTTTATATGGATAAGCCGCAAAGCCACCCACTCAAAGTTGATTCTGCTTTTGACTACTACTATATCCTACTAATGCAGCATCAGCACAAAGCAGGATTTGCAGCAGAAGACACCCCCTACAGCCTCTATACCATGATTACTCCCACTTCAGCAAAAGAAGCACTCATATAAGGTTGTGCATAAAGCAGTTTTTGCCAAGCCAGCCTACACAGCCCACATTTTGGAATCCCAATGCCCTTCCACTGATTGCCTGGCTCATTATAACAAAGCTCTGGCAGCAAAAGCTTTGGCAGTTTCTGGAGGAGTCAGTGATTCAGGATCCTCTTAGTAAGTGGCACTATTGCAGATACTCCTGGTAGGTTCTGTGAAAATATGCATTTCCCTTTTGTGAGTCAGTGCCTCAACACAGTCAGGCATAAATCTGGCCAAAAGGGTCACTGAAAGATTGAAAAGGCAAGTCCAGTTCTGTAAATACAAGGACAGGAAACATCCTTAATATCAGAAGCCCACAGAGAAGCTATTCCATATGGTCAGAAATGAAGAGTTTGTTTTGATGTTGATCTCCAGAGAAAATGATTGCTGACACGCCATGTCATTTAACTGGAAAGAGCTGAAGCTTTGCAGCAGATGGACTGAAATGGAAAAGAGCAGAGGGGCAGAGTTGTTCAGATTCGCTCTAATGTAATGTTCGAGCATCTCAGGAGGAGCATAGAATATCCTTTTTTTTCCTGAACTATCTCAACAAAAAAAAAAAAAAAAAAAAAAAAAAAAAAAATAGGTAAAACAAGAATAATTTTGGAGGCTATGAGACATTATAGGTCTTCATAGCAAGCCTTCTGTGCTGCAGGAAGCTGAGGCTTACCTGTTCATTGCAGGAGAGTCACCCAGCATATTACACTGTCCCTGGAATTTCTCAATCACCCAAAGGCTCAATTTCTTACATATACCTCTACACCACTACTATTGATCTCATGGGGAACTTGGGGTTTCTAGAATGCCCAAAGATATTCCACCTATTTCCTTAGCACTGGGCTTGGCACTGTCTCAGCAACCACATGAAAGCCCGCCCTTGATGTCTACAGCGAGCTTTGCACTACTGCAGTGAATATTTCCCCTTGATGTCCCACTCTGTCATTATTGTAGGTTTTTTAGCACTCCAGATCATGGTGCTTTTTAAATCTCAGCTCACCATCAGCATAAATCAGTATAGCTAGACTGAAGTCAGTTACAGCAGGTAGTATTGAGAGAGAATCCAGACAGTAAATCCAACTCAGTGAAATGAAGAAAGTTCCTTTTCAGTACATCTGTGTCACTATTTCTGCAAGACCCCTATGTGCTCTAAGGCCACGCTTTAACACCGGAATATCTAACATCTCAGGGGAAAGATCAAAACAACCAAACTGGCTGTATTTCTGTGACAAATAGGGGGATAAATGCAGTCAGCAAGTGTTTGTAAGGCTTATGTGACAAGAGTGCATTGCCATCAAAAGCAGTTTAGTTAGTGAGTTCAACAGTTGGAGGACACAATCAATTCACTGTATGCCAACAAAAGAATGTCACTGATAATGGGGAAAACTTGCTTCCAAATGGTCTTACCCTATGGTCATTTTGGATATTTTGCTGTTCAGTCTGTAGTACTGATTAAATGAGGGAAAAGAAGAAAATGTGAGACTGGGTGCATTAATGCAGATATGTATGTGAATCCTATCATTAAAGCATTTGATTCTAGTCCCTACACAGAAGTTACCATACATACAGCCACTTATCACTAATACTAGATTTCATCAGGCATATCTAAATCAGGAAATAATATGGTAATTTTCACAGTCACCAACTGGAAAATATTTATGGCGCAGTAGTTTAATATATCTGTATTTTATATTTCTAAGATTGTACCTGATGACATAATAAGAGTTTGAGTTTAAATAACAGCTGAATGATTTCAGAAAGAAAAAAAATGCACTGGTAGAAAGCTTACTCCTTTATAAAAAATCTTTTCCACGTTCATCGGGATTGCCAGCCTGGGGCAAACTTAATTAAAGTCAATGGAGAAAAAAATTGAATACTTAAAAGTGCTATTTGGGGTTCATAGAGCTTGAATGACTCAAAATATGAAATATTCAATTACTAATAATTGTGGGGTTTTGTTTGGTGAGCATTTTGTCACTCACTCCACACTTCACATCCTCCTCCTTTCATTCTCTTCTAGACAGAAGGCCTAAAAGAGAAGAAAATCAGCAGCTCAAGTTCCAGTTCCCAGAGTGAAGAGGTACCCAGATTTCACCAACCTATTGCTCTTCATCATCCTTTGATTCAGACCTTGTGCTTGCTGCTTTCTTGGTGGCTCCTTTCCTCTCTCCCTGAAACATGTTCTCTCTTCTCTCAGTCTTTTTTTTCACTTTTTCTGGGTGTGATCATGATTCATGAAGTGATGATCTGACTTTGAACATGTCCTTGCATTTAGCAGCTCCCTGGCTTAGGTGCCAGGGAGGCTTTGAATTTCTTACTGACTTGAACACAGCATTAAATAAACTCAAATGCTTTAAATGGAGATTTGAAGGAAATATTATCTGGAGATATTTTTCAGCAGACGCTCAACAGGGCTTGTAAAGGGAAATCTGTTGGGCAAAGGCAATGAAACTTGAAATGGTTTTGTTTACTGGACTGCAGTATTAGGGGAGGTGAACTCAATTTTAAATACATCCTCTGCCCAAAGTAGCTTCTGATTCCAAGTATTTAGTTTCATATCTTGGGGGACAGAGTTCATTGGGATTGATGCTTCAGTAAAAGACAAAATACTATGCAAGAGGTCAAGCAATTTCCTCACCTTTGAAATTTAAACCAAATCAAATCAATATTTAGATGTATACGTTAAAATAGGGCATGAAAAAACTGAAGACAGCCTAAGACTAATGTTAATTGTTTCCTAATTTCAAATATTCTCCAAGAACTATGAAAAGAAGGACAGTTTGGTCTCAGTTATGAGATATTCAACAATTTCAGAATTACTGGAAGAAAAAAGGGTAAAGTTCATTAAGTGACTGATGAGGACAGGCTATTTGAGTGAGTTTTAAAAAAATATTTTACTGTCTCACAATAAAAGAAAATCCTAACCTGAAGAAATGGCAAATTAATTAACATATTCTCCAGTACTTAATGACACCTCAGTAGAAGGAAACTCTTAAAATATGAAACCCTTGACATTGCCAGAATAGAAAAATAAAGTACATGTCTCTCAGTAGGTACCAGAGACCTATATTATGTCCTACTGTTGGTTACAGAATTTTCAATATTTTCTTATCCTTTTTCACTCATATGAGCTGCAGCTTATAACAGTGGTAATCATTTCCTGTGTTTGAAAAAGAGATGAAAGCATTCATGGATGAAAGCAAGTTGGATTTAATCTCCTTCTCTCTCATCCAGTGCACTGTACTGATCATTTTCCAAAAAAACAAGACTTAAGCTCATTTTTGTCATGACAAAACTAGTTTCATAATAATCAGATGGCAATTCCTAGTGTACACAATTCTAATATAATTACCAGGAGGAAATGTAGAGGGAGTTGCAGGTTTGAGATAAAGAAAAGCCTGTGAATTTTGTATTAATGTCTCAGACTCTCTTATTTGTGCAAGTAATCAATCTTTCGGGGAGTAGAATAGTAATTCTTTGTGAAAAAATGACAAGAGTCTGAGGAAGAAAGAAGATAATCTGAGTTTCATTCTGTACACAGCAGGTCAGCTGTGATTGACAAAGCTCATCACAAAACTATAGCTCCCGGAATAATCCCAATAGCAGAGTTTCATTTGCAGCCGAAGCAGTGTTAATGACATGTTTAACAGCTGCTTGTTGAAGTTTGGAATCTGCATTAACCTGCAGAGCAGTGAACAGAGAAATGAGGGGAAGTATTGAAATCAAGCCCTCATTATGCCAACAGCCCAGGGTGAGGGGTAACAAGGGGCTGGTGGAGCAGGCAGGCGGAGAGGCAGGTTCGGAGGGCTCAGCTGCAGATAAGGATACTGGAGGAGAGGGCAGCATCCAGTCAATGAACACAAAAGGCTGCACAAGGCAACCGACAGGCTTGAGCCACGACACCGAGGAAGGGGGAGATTCGACACCTGGAATGAACAAAAAGGGAGAGATGGAAAATTGAGGACTGGCAGCATGGCTTGTGAAGAGAACCAACAGCACCGTTCCTTGCACGTTATCACGCTCCTCAGCCAGCCCGTTCTCCAGTCTGCAGCCGTTCTCTTTTAACCAGGGACCTTTGTCTACCCTATAAAGGTATAAAGCGGACTAATTTCACAGCATTCAGTCTCCTGCTGATATTACTTTTAAGATCAGATGTTATCCCTGATGAAGAAACAAAGCCAAGACACTGAATGCCTTTCCATGTCACACTGATACCCAGCAATCAGATAGTTAATACTCTTATGACTCCAGTCCTCCTGCATCAATATATACCAATGCACATGTTAAGAGCCTGAGTGCACTTGAGCTGCCTGTAGACTGTTCTGTTCTACACCAACTCCCTCTTTCATGCTGCTAATACTAACATCAGTTTCACAAAAGCAAAGGGCAAAGGCCTGGAAGTGTGACTCTTATGTGCATGCTTCAAAATGTTGGCAGTGCCAGCAGGCATCTTTTGATGGAGATGACAATTAATACAAACACATATACAGTACCTTCATAGGTTGAACAAAATGGCTCATTGTTATTCCTAGTACTGAATCAGCTATGGGGCACCATTAAAAGTCATTTGAAGGCCTTCCCTCACACGAATTTTACTGACTTTTCTTGTCTGAGAGTCTTCTTACTCAGTGTTTTTCACTGGAGTGGATTCCTCTCTGTTGCTTCCAGACATAAGGGGAACATATTTAATCCTTTTGAAAATAATTTGATTTAGTTCATAAATTGTAGGTGAAAGCCACTGACCTTTCACCGAAGTCCCAGATTGTCTTAGGCTTCCAAGCGTGTAAATTCAAGCACATTACACCCTGAACTGAAGAGTTGCTTAAACACCTGGCTTAATGTCTTCCCAAAGGCAGACACTTGCAAAAATAGGTATATTTTTGGTAAAGTCTAGCTAGTCTAGACTCAGCAGATCCCTCAAAGTATCTCTGATCTGCTGCTATAGGGGCCCTTACCACTAACACAAGTGACTAGTCCTGGGGAGCTGGAAAAGATTTTTGTCTTTAATATTTCGAATTCAAAGCCAAGACATCCCAAGGATAAACAATTTCCATGAAAAGCAAAAGCAAAATTTAGAGGTGTGCAAGTCTGACAAGTTTAGAGGTCACACTAGTGCAAATGTCTACCATTCAAACCACCCACAATTTTCTTATTGTGCCTGCATCTCCAGTGTTTTATTTTCTACCTCTTTTTTATTTTTATTTCAAATGTCTTTGTCTCTAGTGAGGGTCAAAATCTCTGCTCTGGAACAACATTGTCTGGGAAGCAAGCCAAAACACAGTTGATGATTTCTGAAAAAAAAACAGGAGAAAGCAGAACGACATTGAACTGGCATGGTCCAGAGGCTAGAGCAGGAGTCAGGGACCTGTGTTATATAAATACCTTCACAGTGATTTACCATAGCACCAATGACAATATTTCTTGACATTCTTAGTCAGAAGAGGCTTTGTTTACAAATAAAATCAAAATTAGGCTTCTATGGTCATTTTCTCTTGCCTGCTTGGTTTCATGTGGTGAACATATTTGAGACCATTTTGGTTCAGAGTCTTTTCACAAAAATTTTTTTGCAGACAACTTTCTAAAATCTAAAGGCACATAGCAACGCAAAAGCTGCATTAGGGCAAAACTGGCAGTAGATACACATGCAAGGCAGAAGTAATATATGTCATCTCTGCCACTTAAAATCTTCTACAACCTCAGAAAATGCATGTGGTTTGTCATTCTAGCCACTTGCCCAGAAAAATGTTCATATCCCGCGAAAAATTTCACTTACTCCCTTAGCTGTTCTGTGGACTCAGGCATTAAAAATCAGACAAACTTTGGTAATATCTTCTTATGTTTAAACATCCATTTTCTGACTCTGAATAATGTCAGATACTGCTTGTGTTTTTTTCTTTATGCATACCTGCTAGCTATTGCATTATCAAAGACTTAGATAGCATTGTTAATTTGTCCCCTAAAATATATGTGATGGATTTACACAGATCCTGATGGTTTTGACAGTAAAATCTACTCCTGGGACAGTCTTCTTAATCCATGTTCCCAAACAAACCTCAGGGCAAAGACTGAATGATAGTAAGCTGTTGAACATGAAAATACATAATAAACAAAAGGAAATTAGATATATCTATGGAACAATTTGGCAATGTGTTTAAACACTTTTGTTGTGATTTTCAGAGCTACTTTTTACATAAAATTACTCTATGAGATAGATAATTTTCTCAGAAAAGGCTTAGGAAGCCTTATTAGTTTCAGCTCAGCCTTTAATTTTGAAGTGGCCAGGAAGTTTGTATTACAGAGAATATAAGGTGAGAAGAAAGGTTAGCCTTTGAATATAAATACACACAATTCAGTGACTAGAGCTAACCACTGTTCAATTGCTACTTCATTTTCCTTCACAATATCAGAGCTCCATAACTTCTGTTGAATTTTAGCATAATTTATGAATTTTAATATTTTCTATAAGATCATAATAATCATTGAGGAGTATTCCTAGCATTGTGCTTTGCTTTCCATATCTTACTTTTTCAAGTGCTTTATCATCTACTGTTTGACTTCTCTGCAATAACTACAATCTAGTACTGCACTGCTAACAGCAAAAGCTCAATTTCATCTGGAAGGCAGAGTTTGGAAGGCAGGGATTTGCTGAAACTTGGAGATGAAGTATATAGGAGCCCCAAACTATGAGAGTTTCTTTGGAGATAAATATTTCCCACTGTAAGGAGTACAACATTGAGGATTCCCTTTGGGAAACAATACTGCTGTTGTCATCTGCAATGATTATACCAGGTCTACTCAATGTTCTCCATTAACAGTATGCAGCTTCACAAGTGCTTTAGAGAGACAGTAGAGTGCTTTAGTATCACAATACCTGAAGCATAGAGAGTTGAAGGGACTTACCTGAAATCCCCCATCAGACCAGAAGGATACTCTTTCCCATGCCTCCTGTCACACAGCTTCCCTATGCAGAGTATTTTGCAACCTGAGAGTTGAACTAGCAAGTCTTTCAGCTTTGTCAAGGTAAATCGTCAGCAGTGTTCCAGGAAATCAGGATGAACATGTAGAAATTATGAAGATACT